ATAAATACTGCAGGTGCATTTGTTACTCCAAACGGCATGACCACATATTCATAATGGTCATATCTCGACTCGAACGCCGTCTTCCGTACATCCTCTTCTTTAACCAAGATCTCGATGGTATCCAGATCTCAAATCAATCTTAGAAAATATTGATGCTCCTTGTAACTGGTCTAATAAATCATCAATCATCGGCAACGGGTACTTGTTCTTGATAGTCACCTTGTTTAGTTGCTGGTAATCAATACACAACCTGGAGCTCCCATCTTTCTTCTTTACTAGCAATACAGGAGCGCCCCAGGGAGATACACTCGGGCGAATGAACTTCTTTTCTAGCAAATCTTCTACCTGTTTCTTCAATTCAGCCAATTCTCGCTGGAGCCATACGGTATGGTGCCATAGAGATTGGGCTCGAACCAGGAATTAGATTAATCCCAAATTCGACCTCTCTCCGAGGTGGTAGCCTTGGTATCTCATCCGGAAACACATCGGAAATTCTCTCACAACCGGTACCTCTTCCAGGATATTTTCCTTCATTTCATCCATCCGAGTCGAATCAAATAACACCGAGCTCCCTCTCGTAACTCTTTCCGAACTCCGCCGAGCCGATGTAATAAGTTCATCTCCTAATTCCGGATGTACCAACCTCTTCTGTCCACAATCAATCGAATGTGATTGGTAGATAACCAATCCATCCCTAAGATTACATCCATATCCTTCAAAGGTAAACCGATTAAGTTCACCTTGTACTCGTCATCCTTCTACGACAATTGGGCACCTTAAACACACATAGGAAGACACCACCGATCCAATCGCTGGTGTAGATACCCTCAATTCATAGGGTAGGTCACACACAGGTAACTTAAGTTTATCCATACAATTATCAGCAATAAAAGAATGGGTAGCACCTGAATCAAACAAAACTCGTAGAGGTATATCAGAGATAAAACACACACCTTGCACTAAATTCTCTAACCTCGATGCCTCTGCTCCTGACAAGGCAAACACCCGTCCTGCAGCTCTGGGTTTCGCGTCACTCCCCCTGGGTGCTAATGATGCCCCAGCTGAGACTATAACATTGGGATTCTGTGGACAGTCTCTAGCCATATGTCCCGGCTTCCGGCAAGTGTAGCAAAGACCCGCCCGAGAAGTCCGGGAAGGATTAGTGAAGGCATTCTCGTGGGCACCGATTCCCGTAATGAGGGCCTCCACATTGAAAACATTTTACCCCGGATACGGATCCCGATGATCGAGGTGTTGGGGTAACACCGCCACTCCCGGAAGACCGGGGCGTGAATAAGGCATCCTCCTCTCTCGATCTACTACCCCTACTCGGGACTCCACTTGAGTGGATCCTCATCACTCTGACTCCTCCCTCCTGGAGTCTCTCTATTGTCTTCGCCTTCTCCACCAGCTCTGGGAATCTCCTGATAGAGAAAGGAACCACCATGAGCTTGATCTCAGCCCTCAAGCCTTCCTCAAACTCCTTGCAAAGCCACTGTTCTGAAGTTGTACTTGTGTAGAAACGAGATAAGTGCTCAAATCGTATGGCGTAATCATGCACCATCATATTACCCCTGTCTCGCACTCAGGAACTCGCCTCCTTTTGAAATCTAACACCGTCGGGGAAGTATTTCTCCGTAAATCTCTCACGGAAAGTTTCCCAATTACACACCTCCCCCGTGCAATCATCATCCTTTGAGTCCCCGACCACCGGAACTCAGCCTCATCAACTAGTAAGTATTTCCCGAATGTCAATTTCCTATCTTCCGGCATAAGGTAGCCTCAAAAATCTTCTCCACTTCACGCAGCCACTTCTCTCGCCGCATCCGGACCCAAATCTCCTCCAAAACGAGGCGGATTATGCCTCATGAACTCAGCCGCCCCCATCTACTCGATTGGTGATATCCAGCAGAGGATGATGCCATAGTTGGCCTCCACTCGCGGGTAGGTAGCCCGCTACCGCATGGCAGCTGCCAACATTTCCATTGCCCTGGCTAGGGCATCTACACTCTGGTGGAGTAGGAGTAGGAGGTCGCGGTGCCATCCTATATCAAACGCAACCATCAATACAGAGCAAACATTCACACACTCATAATCGTAGTATAATCACAACTGACTTATCATAGGTTCACTACCCATCCCCACAGTATTTACAAGGATACTACCGCTCCGATACCACTATTGTAACGACCCTAGAAATCGCTACTATAATGATGTCTTCGCAAAGTAGTAAACAAGTAAATAACAACATCTATTTTACATTATATTATCGTAATTGTAACATATATTGAAATTCCAGCTCACTAACGTAACTTCAAAATATAGTAACATAATTTATTTATATATTATACATGTAAAAGTAGCTCCCTCGAAGCTATCCCACCGAACTATCCCCGCTGTCCAGTAGTCACATCACCATCTCTCAACTCCCGATCCGCTCCCACATAAAAGTGATCATTGCAGTCCCATCCACATGGAAAAATAGGGGTAAGTATTAAATCATTTGATATAATAAAACAAATATAAAAGTAATAATTATATATTATGATCAATTACATAATTATCAACACACTAAGACACCTTCCGAAGTATACCCTAACTATGCCCGAACTCGGAGGCTATCATCCGTGGGCACATCGTGATCGGTACTCGCAGCACCATTCCGACCACCCTCCACACGAGTAGGATTACCGGCGCCCTTCATCACTCATACTCGGAGTACCCCTCCGAGCGCGCCACCAGTCATCCCCCATCGACTTCTCACCACCTGATCTCGTAGTCTACTTGACCCGACCAATCGATGAAGTCTCGAGACCTCATTCGAATCCTCCGACATAGTTATTACACTAATGTACTATGTACCACCCCGGTACCATTCAAACATACAAAATTTATTCACATTTGCCTGATTCTGGACCACCTGTCCTCACGGCTCATTCGGGTCAATAAAATAGTATTTGACCGATTCCGGCACCAACCTTCCGGCTCGGCCTAGCCAATATATAACGTTTCAGGACCGATTCGGGCATCGCCCTCAGGCTTAGTCCGACCCACACACGTCACAACACTCTACTTTCATTCTCTCTCTCTTTATATATATATATATATATATATATATATATATATATATATATATATATATATTTCCTAAAATCATTTCCGAAATCAATAAATTACTATTTTGCCCTTGATCTTTAAAAAAAATCCCCACCATATCCCTTTCTTCTTCCTTCGCTCGCTCAAGCGAGTACACCGGTCGCTTGAGCGAGACATGACCCGAGAGTCCCATTTGTTTGAGTCTTTGTCGCTCAAGCGAGTACACCGGTCGCTTGAGCGAGACATGACCCGAAAGTCCCCTGTGTTTGAAGGCTTCGTCGCTCAAGCGAGTACACCGGTCGCTTGAGCGAGACATGACCGGAGAGTCACCTTTGTTTGAAGACTTCGTCGCTCAAGCGAGTACACCGGTCGCTTGAGCGATAAAGGACCCGAGAATCCCAAATTTTCCAGGTATTCTCGCTCAAGCGACGTGTTTTTCGCTTGAGCGAATTTTTGCAGATTTTCCACTCCGCCATTTTCAAAATCCAGATTTCAAATTTCTCAGTTTCAATCACCCAAATTAGTTCCAAATCAAAATTTAACCATAAACATGTTCAATTTAAGTTAAAAACAACAATTTTAGTATATAATTCATCCTTAATTTCAAGAATTTCAAAAAAACTTTCAAACGGTGAACAGTTCATCAAAATCAAAAATTCTTCAAAATCAGACATTCTTCAAAATCAGACATTCCAATAATTCATATCTCTACTCTTATTCCTTATTCACAGAGTACCCAAGCAATTCAATTTCATATATTGAATGAATTAAACTTCCCCTTACTTGGTATGGTATTTCTACCGAAACTTTCCCACTTAATTCAAGTTCTCTCCCGTTTCACCAGATCCTGCACGAGTAGAGTCTCGTTGCTTGAAATTTAGATAATAGAAGAAGAAGGATGAGAGGAAAATTTTTATTCCCCTCCTCCTCCGCTTCTGTATTCATATATAAGAAAAATTTTACTGTGCATGAGGAAAACTTCGTTACGAAGTTTTCTTGCACAATAATATTAATATAATATTAAAATAAGGCATACGTCACACTCGATGTCTTCAACCTAAAAAATTATTAGAATTGAAGAAATTTATATTTCTTGAATAAGGTAAAACATCTCTTTCTGAATACTTGAAAGATAACATTATAAAAATTAAATTTCTATATTATTCATTTTAAAAAATTTATCTTAATTATAAAGTCAATAAAAAAATGTTGATATAACAAATATGAGACTTTATATATTCATTTTATTATTACCCATGACATATAAAAAAGAGAATATCCTACCTTGGTTATGTTGTTAACTAATGTAGGATGTGATGTGTCTTTTTAAAAAATAAATAAAAAATAATAGAATAGAGATTTATCTACCTTTATATTATATTCACTTTTTATATTAATAGCAAAAATTAGTTTTATTATTTACAATTTTTTTTATCACAGTTATTTTTATATTAATTTTTTGTTAATTAATATTATATTAACAACATGAATTATTTTTTTAATGGGGTTATAATCATTCATTGATAGTTAATTTAAATTAATTTTTATACAACATAAGATATTTTCTTTAAAATTAGTGTAAAAAATTCATATAAATATTATTTGTTTATAATTTTAATTTAAGTAACTTAATTGTATAAAATAAAGTTATTATAAAGAAAGATTATTTTTATTTATTTATTTTTATTTGTCAATATTATTAATGGATATGAAATTTCCAACTTTTATATATATATATATATATATATATATATATATATATATATATATATATATATAATTGAACATATTGATGTAATATAAAAAATAATTTGAAATAGTGAAGAAATCTTACTAACAGAATCTATAAGCACTGACAATTAAAGATGAAAAAATTTCAAGTATAGAACAACAATGTCAACTCTTTATAACTCTTGGTTCATCTCCCAACTCTGCTTTGGTGCCACGCCACAGTGCTTCGGGGCATATTCCTGCTCAAATTACCAAGCACATATCAAATCAACAAATCACATGATATTGAGAAAAAAAAAAATCAAATATTAAATGTGTTTAGGCTAAAAATCATTTCGGTTATTTATGATAATCTCAGGGATAATTATCATATTTTGAATATTATTGAGAGAGAAACAGTCACGTTTTGGGATATTAATGAGTTCACTTTATCTAATAGTCGAAATTAAAAATAATTTTTTACCCAACAATAAATGTTAAAAATAATTTATATATATATATATATATATTATATTTAATAATTAATTCTTATAATATTATCATAAAAAATATTAAAACATTATTATAAAAAAATATTAAAAAAATATTTTTTTAACCTAATTTTTTTTATTCTTATCATTTAGGAAAGACACCAAAATTTAAAGATAATATATTTTTTCTAAAATTTTTCTTAAAATCAAATGCATATAATGATAGTGTTAAGGTTCCAACATAAAACCAATTGACAATATGTGAATTAGCCTAATATGTATTTAAATCATACCAAATGACATGAGGTAGGCGATGTGGGACTTTTAACACACTCCCTCCAACGAAGCCTGTCGGCCCATGACAATAACCGGAAAGATGTTAGGCTTTGGCTCTGATACCATGTTAAGGTTCCAACATAAAACCAATTGGCAATATGTGGATTAGCCTAACATGTATTTAAACCATACCAAATGACATGAGGTAGGCGATGTGGGACTTTCAACAGATAGAATTAGAATAGACATTTTATCCTACTCTGATGAACCTAAATCCTTACTTTTTTATCAGTCTCTAATTCTAATCTATCATAATATGATATTATGTTGTTAGGATAAACCAAAATTTCATTAGAGTTGAATTCTGAATTATAACATATATCATGATTTTGCAATATTTGATTGATTACAATTCTTTATATTCCATTTATTATACAAATTCTCTTAGAATATTTGAAAATACGAAAAGAGAAGTCTCACATCAGAAGAATTATATGTTAGTGCTTATTTTTCTTGTAATAAAAGGAAGATAATATTCACTTTGTAAATCACTCAAAATCTCTTCTTTTTTCTTTTTAATAGCGTATTGTATAGTAGTTGAGTTCTCTTATTTCTGAGAGAGAATATTATTATTGTTTTCTCCTTAGATTTAAAGAGGGTATTGAAATTTCTTCCGGTAGTAAAATTTTATTATTCCCTATTGTCTATTTTATTTCTATTTTTCATCTTTTATTTGTGAGTTCTTATAGAGTTATTCTGATTCCTAACAGTGGTATCAAAGCCATGGTTGATTTCTTATTTATGATATTATTCCGTTCCTATAGTCATTAGAATAGTGTTGAAAAAAATTCTTAGTATGTTCTGTGGTTGCGGTTAATATGATTTTCCACATCATAAAAAGGTTATTTCACTTACTCGATATAAAGTGTGGTAGTATGAGGAAAAATTATGACAAGAAAAGACTTGATAATAACTCACCTCTTTTTCTAGGAGCTTACTTAATGTACTAGTTATATTTTATGTTGTTCCAGTAGGTAATACTATTCATAGTGAAAGGTGCATAAGCCGGTTAAAACCATGACAACAAAATAGGAGATATAGAAGTTTAATGACAACAATTTCTTATTGTGGAAATTGAAGATGAAGGCAATTTTGATAAAAGATAATTATATAAAAGCAATTAGAGAAAGGTCGTAGACATCATAGATCGAAAGTGGAAAGAAATTACAACAACGCTATAGCAAATTTGTGGAAAACGGTACAATGAAGGAGATTTTGAAGCCCCTTGTCAAATTGTATCAAGAGGAAACACATATTAAACTTGGTTTATTATGATGTATTGGAATCGTCAGTATTATCCCTAAGAGGGGCCAAATATTTTGTGTAAGTGATGACAATGATTACTCTAGGAGATTATGGGTGTATCGCATCAAGAGGAAATTTGTGTTTTCAAAGTTCGAAAAAGGAAAATTCTTGGACTATGCTAACAATGTGAAAGAGTATTTCTTGTCGATCTCACTATCCACAAGGTTATTCTTAACGGTGATACAAATATTATTTTTCTTCAAGGTGAACTTAGAGAAAGGATTAGTGTGCTCCAACCAGAAGACTTAAAGAAAAAGGAAACTTGGTTTATTGGTTGACCAAATCTCTGTATGGTTTAAACCGGGTGTCCAGGTATTAGTACAAGATATTTGATTCTTCATGATTAGTCTTTATTACAACAGACTAAGTTCAGACTATTGTCTATTACAATAGATTTGATGAGAATAATTTTATCATTTTGTCATTGTATTTGGATGACATGGTGGTAGGCTCCAACAAAGTTCGAATCCAAGTTTTGAAGACACAATTGGCTAGGAAGTCTAATATGAAGAACTAGAGACCAACAAACAAAATTTTAGGGATGCAAATTCATCGGGACATAGAAGATAGGAAGATTTGACTTTATCAAAAGAATACTTATTGAAGGTCTTATAGTGCTTCAACATGCAAGGGTATAAGCCAGTTCTTACCCCATTTTCTATCAAGTTATCCTCAAGTATGAGTCCTAGCAATGAAGTAGGGAGGATGAAAATGTCTCGAGTACTGTATGCATCGATAGTGGAAAGTCTTATGAATACTATGATTGATACAAGACCAGACATTGCACAAACAATGAGAGTGATTAGTAGATCAATGGAAAATTATGGTGGAGAGCATGAGTATTATCAAGAGAATTCTTATCAAATGAACCTTGAATGTTGTATTATGTTTCAGAGAATTAAAGCTAGTTGTCAGATACTATGTTTGTTCAGGTTTTGCAGGTGATCTTGATGAGTTTACCTTTGTTGGAGAGACAATATCCGGTTATCCAAGTTATAGGATGTTGTAGCTTTGTCTATCACAGAAGTTGAGTACATGACAGTCACAAAAATATGTAAGGAAATTATTTGGATTAAGAGGATAATGGAGGAACTCGGGTACAAGCAACATTAGATTGTTGCGTATTGTGACAATCAGAGTGTTTTGCACATTGCAAGGAATCTTACATCGTATTTTAGAATAAAGTAAGAAGAACCTAATAGATGTTATGACAGTCGGTTAGTAGTGACAAATTTACATAAAGACAATCCTAGGAAGTCAGTAATAATATATTATGAAGATTTGATTAATTTAATCAAAATATTCAAGTGAGAGATTGTGAGAATGTGAGAAGAAAAATCTCACATCAGAAATATGTTGGTGCTTATTTTTCTTGTTATAAAAGGAGCACAATGTTTACTTTGTAAATCACTCCAAATATCTTCTTTCTACTAGTACATTGCATAGTAGTTGAGTTCTCTTGTTTTTGAGAGATAATATTATTATTATTTTTTATTTAGATTTAAAAAAGATATTGAAATTTTTTTGTAATAAAATTCTATTATTATTTATTGTCTGTTTTGTTTCTCTTTTCTTATATTTGATTTTAATTATAAGTTCTTATACATTTATTCTGATTTCTCCGTGATAATGTTTCCAACAATAATACTTTTTTTACATGTTTATTTTAAATTCTAAAATAGAAATAATTAAAGAATATTATTATTGGAAAAATGAAAAATTAAGAAATTTAATGGGATATGTTTGTGGGGTATGTACCTCAAGTTTGGACATAAGGTCTTGGGCAGTTTGGGCAGACACAATAATGTGACGGGCAGCTGGTGTAATGAAACTTTCATCCACAGCATTGTCCATGAATGACAGCAATGAGTTGTAGTAGCCATCCACGTTCAACAATCCCACCTGTCACCATTTTCACACTCATCACTTTCCAATCATTATCACCCTCATTCTTCATTTCTTTATCATCATCAGCACCATATATTATAATTATTTTAAGAGTGGAAACACTTAATTTCACACGAACAAAACTAATTCATTGTCTTTTACAGGTAATGAGAGGAACATGATATGATAACATTCCATTACAACAAGACAAAAAAAAAAATATTTATTTATTTGTTTATATTACTTTTGAGTGGCTCTTGTGTGTGTGTCTTTTGAAGTGGCTTTGAGTCTTTTCCTTGTGTGTCCACTTATGGACTTACAATAATATAAATTTTTAGTATATACAATCACTTGCTACACTCCATTCCACTGAGGAATTTCTAGCTTCCTTAAATATTGCTAATAATCACTATTTGAAAATTGTACCCATTTAATTAATTCAAATGGGAAGCGAAAATGAATACGTTATTATTTTAATTAAATCAGAAAAAAAATAAAAAATTATTATAAAACTAGAAAAATCAGTTACATTTTTGGATCGGTGTTAATAAAAAAAATTAAAAAATAACTTTTTAATACAGTTTTCTTATTAATGATATAATATATCTTATTTATTTATTTTATTTTATATTTTTTCTACTAACTTTAAATAATAATTATTTTATTATATTTTAATTATTATTTATTTTATATTAATAAATTTCTTGTATATTTATTATATTATAAAAATATTATTTGGTTAGTTTCAGTTCAACAAGTTCAATATCCAATTTTAAAAATATTGATAATAATTATAGACAAAATGCAGAAGTGTTTTTTGATTTTCGATATCTTACGGGTTTGTCGTGGATTCCTAGTTGAGCCCAAGTAATGACTTCAAGTAATTCTTCCAGAGTGCCATATCCACCTAAAATAATACAAATTTTCATTATATTTAATCACTTTATTATTTTATTTTTTATTCGTTGAAGTGCAGTGTTGCTGTTTGTATAATATAACTATGCATAAGCAATAATGCACTGATAGGAATGCTTCATAAGGGATGCAGGATTCTTATAAATTGCAGCGTACAGTTGACAGTTATGATCAGTTACTGAGAGGAATGTTTGGTCTTTTTTAATTAAACTGATTTCTAAATTAAAGTTTAAAATAGAACTTTAATAATAATAAATAAATATAAAATAAAAAATCTTTTTCATAATTTATGAGAAAGTTCTCTGTCATAGAACCTCCATCTGTGACGAAAGATGTACATTGCTGAAAGGATATATAAAATGATTTGAGATTATTATAATATTAAAATTATTATAATAAAGATAATAATATTTCTAACCATCCAATTTTTTAAAAAACATGGGAAAAGACATGATAAATAGCTAGGTGTGTATGCATGGTCATTTATCTTTATCGAATTCCTTTAAAAAATATAAACAAATAATATATTTTTTTTCTCGTAGAAATTTGTTACAAGCATGATTAAAATGTGGGAAAAGATAAGAAAAAGAAGAGAAACCTGGGAGAGCAATGAACGCGTCAGCTTGTCGAACCATTTCTGCCTTTCGTTGGTGCATCCCCGACACTGCTCTCACTTCTCCCACCGTCTCCCCCGTTATCTTTATTCAATTCATTCACTCTTTTTATTTAATTCATTTATTAATTAAATTAATCATTATTGAAAAATAAAATACCTCTGGTGGCATCAGAGTGGTAGGAATGACCCTGCAATTTGAAGTAGAAATTGATGAAAATATTCAACTTGAAGATTTTAACATCTAATGAAAAGTAGGTAAAAGATAATATTATAATATATAAATAAATAGGATTTTTATTTTATTAAATTAATTTTGTAAAACTGAAGTTACATGTCAATTAAAAATATTATATAAAAAAATAAAATATTTACTTTATTAAATCAATTTTATCAAAATTAAATTAAATATTTTTATTTGAAAAATAATATTAATAATAATAATAATAAAAAAAAAGAAATTACCCTAACACGTGGCGTCCACCATCAAATACCACTTGTGAGATCTGCCCCATCAACCCAATGCTCCCTCCTCCATACACCAAGTCGATGCTCCTCTCCACCTACACGCATTCAATTATCATTTCTCAATCTAATAACTCATAAAACAACAGCAATCCTTTCTAATAGATATCAAAGAGTGGAAACGAAGTTTGTTATGGTTTAATTTGTGATTGAGTGATCTGAAAAGGCAAAACATGAACATGGTTTTGTACAAAACAAAGTTAATGATTGAGTTGAGGTGGGAATGAGAAGTGTTGTGACATTATTACTTACAAGCTGTTTGCCGAGTTGGATAGCAGCGAGTTGGTAGCTAGGGTTCTTGCCATTGCTGGTGCCGCAGAAGACACAGATCCGTGAGAACCTCGACTTCATCGTCATTATTATTCCTTCCTCTTTAATTTCCGTAATAGAAAAACTCAACAATTTGATTTTTCCTTCAATATCAATGAAATGATTGAATGATTGTGTATAATGAAGGAGAATCAAACAGAATATTGAATAAAAGAGTTATGCTTCTAAGAGAAGAGAAGAAGGGTAAAAGAAATTGTTAATGAGAGTTGAAGAAGGAAGCAATCTAATAATAGTTAATGTAGAAAAGTAGTGAGAATTGAGAATTGGTATTTGTGTTTTTGAGTGTGTGTAAGTTGTTCTCTTAAATAATATGAGAGAATCAGATCCATCTTCTATGCCTCCCTCCCTCCCACACCAAAATATCACATATCAATGTCTATCTTAATTAATTACATCATCATCTCAAATTATCATCTTCAATACTCACATATTCTTCTTTTAAGAATCTCATTTGGATTTCCATAATTTTATTTTTATTTTCTTTTGTCCGCTTAAATATCAGAGTTCTGAAAACTTTTAATGTGCAGTTAATGTGACAATTTTTATTCTATCTATTATTTAAAAATTAAGTAAGTGACTTTTGTAGTACTTATATAATAAAACTAAATATATGAAATCATTATACTCATAATTCATTATTTAGAAATAATTTTGTTGACTCTCCACTAAAGAAAGCAAGGGAGACACTCATAATCATGATAAGTTTCAATTTCCAAGCTATATATATATATATATATATATATATATATATATATATATATATATATATATATATATATATATGTGTGTGTGTGATGTAATGCATAAGTGGACTCAATCAATAATTTGTTATCATTATAATCAACCCTCATTTTATTAATTAATCTAATATTACCCATTTTGAAAAGATTTTATTTGACTATCAACTTTAATTCAAAGATCAGTCTCATAATTATTTCCACGAAAGCATATGTTATAAAAAAAATGCACCCACCATAGATTCCACTTTCCAAACTCATGATGCCAGTTATAACTCTCGACTTTAAACTTAAAACATTGGACAAATACTCAAATCATCCATAATATATTAACCCTAATGAATTTAGCTAATATATTAGAGAAATATGCCACTTTTTAGTATTCTAAATTTCAAAGAAACAATATAATAACAAAGAGGGACCCTAAACTTGTATTTGGACTTTGTGAGTGCTCTACCTATTATTATGGCTAGGAATGAATGAATCTTCCACACTTCCAATTCAAACTTATCCAATTCAGAGCTTTCCTCCACAATCTTATCTAATTCAGGTAGGTGGTGGCTGCCTCGTGATTTTCCTTCACTTTCTATCTTCTCTTTTCTTTTTGTTTTCTATGTTTATATGATTTGAAAATTCCCACTCCACGCCTACATGTGAATTAATGATTTGTGAATCTGCTTCATGTATCAATAATAGGTTAACAATTTTATGACTTTTTATGTTTGTTAAAATGGATTTTTTTACGTCGGTTAAAGAAACGACATATATATAGATTATAAAAAGTAAGACTTTTTACGTTGGTTATTAGGAACCGTCATAGAAAATATCACTTTCTACGTCAGTTAATCATACAATCGACGTAGAAAGTCTTACTTTCTATGTCAATTTATATTGTTAACCGACATAGAAAGTTTCACTGTTTGAACCTCTTCAGTGGGAATAGGGATTGGGGGTAATAACATCCCGAACAAAATCAAGAAAGAAAGTGACTTAGAATTTAGCAACTAAATTGGCTAAAGGTACCTGTGATCTTTCCATCTGTTGACAACATTATCACAGACCATAATCAAAACTATAAATCTAGAATGACTACAGGAACACATTCAAATGGCTAGAGCAGGCATGAAAACTTACCTCTTGAAGACCTAGAATCAAAACTCGCAGTGAAGGGCACCAACGACAGCAGCGGCAGGTGGTGCGACGGCAGTGGTAGGTGGCGCGACGTACAGAGGCGACAGAAGCGACAGGTGGCGCGACGTACACCGGTGACGAGGTTCGTAGTAGAGACAGAGAGAATGAGGAGCTCTGCTATGGGTGAAGTGATGAAATGGAGTGACGAGGGCAAAGAAAAACAGAAGAGACTATGTTGGTTGTCCAAATATCCGTCATAAAATATGTTAGACAAATGACATCTAGAGGGGGAGGTGAATAGATGTACAAATTAAAATAGATGCCAAATTAAAAATTTATTTTAAAATGTCCAATATTTATTAATTCAATTTTAATTATCAAATTGAACAGATATAGCGGAAGCGATATAATCAAAGAGATAAGGGGAAGGAAATAAGTTGATGTTATCACAAAGGTATAAGGAAGAGAAAAACAGTGAAAAAGAGATAAGGGAAAGAGAAGAACACACAGTGATTTATATTGGTCCGAGTATAGCCAACCCTACATCCAGTTCCCAGTCAACTCTTAACACAAGAGTGACCCCAATTCACTATCTTTTAAATTCAGTTCACAAATTACAATCAACTAAGCAAAAAGCAAACTAATTCAAAAGACAATCACCTCCTTAGAAAACCCACTAAAGATGAACACCTCCCTAGAATCCCACTAGGGATGAACACCTCCTCTGAACAAATCAAAGGATGAAAAACACATCATTTACCACCAACTCACAAAGGATGAACACCTCCCTGGAATCACAGTAGGGATCAATACCTCCCCGAATAAATCAAAGGGATGAAAACACCTCCTTAGAATCCCACTAAGGATGAACACCTCCCTAAAATCACACTAGGGATGAACACCTCCTTTGAACAAATTAAAGGATGAAAACACCCCCTTAGAATTTCACTAAGGATGAACACCTCCCTAGAATCACATTAGGGATCAATACTTCCCCGAATAAATCAAAGGGATGAAAACACCTCCTTAGAATCCCATTAAGGATGAACACCTCCCTAAAATCACACTAGGGATGAACACCTCCTTTGAACAAATTAAAGGATGAAAACACCCCCTTAGAATTTCACTAAGGATGAACACCTCCCTAGAATCACATTAGGGATGAAAAGCACCTCCTTTGCCACCAATACACAAAGGATGAACATCTTCCTAGAATCACACTAGGGATGAACACCTCCTCTGAATAAATCAAAGGATGAATAACACAATTGATTAACTTAAACCTCTTAAACACACAAAGGATGAAAAAGTAAGATAAGAACAGTCATACACAAATGATGAAGGTAATAAAAATAAGAACAATCACACATGGGTAATGAAGACAACAAATTGTAGAAGTGTTGAATTATTGGCAATCATACCAAATTATCAATCGCAGTATAGTATTTCGATAAAATAAAAGTCGATCCCACGAGGAACAATTTCAATGGAAATTCCCAATTATGCTTACTAAGTAGATTAAACAGATTGAGTTTTTCAAATAAGAGTTGAATTGAAATTAAATGACAAAGAACTGTAAATTGTTGAGAAAATATCAATTAAAGGTACTTAGGATTGGTTTCCTTCCTTATCCCTCTTTTGTAATGGTTATGTCAATTAAGAACGTCAATTAACCTAACAATATTGATGCCACCTACTCAATTCATCCATGTTGATTCCTCACACATGAAATTCATAAGAAAACCTAATAAATGTTTATTCCTCACACAATTAAGAGATTTTCCAGCATTAGGTTTAGGGTGTTAAGCAATTGATATATTCATTTCATTCTTGGCAATTAACGTAACAAATATTCTTACTGTGATCTAGGGTTCAAGATATATTTTCCAATCATACCTCAAACAATAAAAAATAAATCATTCCAAAGCATAAAGTATAAGAATAACAACATCAAAGCATAGATTAATATCTCAAAATATCACCATGATACAAAAGAGTTCAAAGGAAGTGCACCGAATCCTAAGAGAATGAAGTTAGCCACTCATGTTGGCCATTACAATGCTCTAATTGATGAAGAAGTGAATAATTGATGAAGATTAGGCAAAACCCTAACAGTAGTCGTGCCTCCTCTTCTCTAAGACTGCTTCCTTTCTCAAAACACATATTATCTTTTTATAAAAGAATTTGGGTTGGGCCTCGCATCATTCATTCGCTTAAGCGTTCTTCTTTCTTTCAATTTTTCTTCAATTACTTCACAATTATACTCCTTACTCTTGTATCAAGGTATTCTCGAATTCATCCTATATTGGGAGAAAAATAGATTAGAATTAACATAAGTTAAGTGGTTTCATAACAATTCAAGGCATAATTATATCAATTTTTTACCACTTAACAACTCTCCCCAACCTAGAATCTTGCTTGTCCCAAGTAAAGTAATTTTTCCAAAATAAAACCATCACCTATTATCTCTTTCTCTTCCAGAACCACAACATAAAAATTTTCAGAGGTGATGCTCACAACTCCAAATGAAAATAGAACACATAAGCATTCAAGTTATAAAAACCAACAAAGAATAATTAGTCCTCAACTATCCTTAGAGAAGCATGATCTCTCAAATAGAGTTATATATACTCATCTCTAATTCTCACAGGTAAGTGTTTATCTCATTCAATCACTTCATTTAGACAATCCAATATTGATAATCATCTTCAAGCAATCAACAATTGTTAAATAATACTTAAATCAAAGGGTCTTTTTAGGCTTGTAATGGGGCTGGGCTAAGAAAGAATTATTGGTTTTTCTGGGATATACAAAAATATTTGAGAAATTCAACTCATATGAATGATTCTTGATTAACAATTCCTCAAGTCAAGTTTCAAACTTCATGCTTTTGTTCCTAACACAATGACAGTGAGTTAAATAATCTCACAAGTTATTATTCCCCCCTTGAACTATTTTTCTATTTTTTTTTTCTCATGCTTTTGCATGTATTTTTGGCTTTGCCAATTTTTAAGCTTTACTTTTCCTTTACACCTTTTTTTTAGAATAACAATCCCTCCAATAATACCTGCAGGACAACAATAGCAATACCCAACAATAAGAAAAATAGTGACATTCATACTCATTTCCTTTCTCAAATATAGGAAGGTAGAT